TATATATATATATATATACACTTTTTTTAAGCCCTCTTTTGATTTGTACACACCAATGAACATGTCTGAAAGACAACAGTGTTTAGACTCGCATGGGTAACCAAATGCTGGAATTTTGTTGGACTAATGAAAATTGTGAGAGTTTTTAAAATATCTTTTCCTTGCAAGAAAATAACTGCAAAAATGTAGACAAAATATAATCAAAACAAAATATTGTTTGATTCATGCCTATTGCATAAAGTTACCCGTAACCCTTTATGTTAAAAACAGACTGTCCCCTGCACACTAACTGAAATTTTCTATCGGGTAGACAACATGAGTGCCTGAAAAATATATGTAGAAAAAGCAAGGTTCATCTCGATTTGGATGTTCAACGACTAGTTGATATTCAGTATGTCGCTACCTGAAACCTGTTCTTGATGCTGCCATGTGACTTTATATCTATCTGATGTAGCTATTTGTTTTATATGGCTAGCACTGTTGCTGCAATGTTGTACTTTCTTTTATGTTAATAGATTTGACATCATTTAATTAAAAAAAAAAAAAAGGTAAAGAACAGAATCATCCACTGATAATTCCGATTGGCAGTCTTCCTGTTTCACTCGTTTGTAGGAGAGTAAGGTGGAAGTTTAGAAATGTTTGAACAGTGCACATATATGCAGGATGGTTATCTCTTGATCGTACGGTACTGGACACAGGCAGATTCAGAGATGACTGGTAATATACAGGTATCATTCTTTGATTAGACACTGGCCAGAGCTGTGAGGACCCCCATATACCCCCTTCCACTCCCAAGAATCAATTTTTTGCTAGTGTCCTTAGGTGATGGATGTTTCCTCTGTATCGAGGGAAATGTAAGTAGTTTGCTTACCTTGTTACCTCGATTCTTTAATTAAGTTTTTTCTCTGGCTGGGTCTGGCATGGTGGCAATGGTGCAGCTTTGCGGGCATGGACGCATGCTAGAACCAGAGGCTCTATGTATCTCACCCCATCCTTCCAATTATCCTGCAGCTTGTTGAGCCCAAAATCCTCCTCCCTTCTCTGCACACTCCCAGGAACCTGTCGGCCATACAAGGCCAGTAGAAATCAGAGAGGGTAAGCATGCTGCTGCAGCAGAGGAACTTGCCCGATTCCGACATTCTCTAAATGGCAAACACGTAGCCTCACCACACTTTAGACAGCATGGGATCCATGGTGTCCAGACTTCAGTCTAGAGCAGGACCTATCGTCAAGCTCCTCTCACCCAGGCATCAACCCAATCCGATCTGGATTAACTAAATGACTCCTTTGCTGATTCACACATGCAGAACACTGATCGTATGGCAACCTTGGCAGAGCCCATGCTGTCGCAAATAATGGAGATGATATGCTATTACAAATCTTCCCTTGCATCTTAGAAGGCTTACATATTGATCTATCTCTGCTGAAGCAGGATCTCCATAGCCTGCATGAAAACCTGCCGCTGCAGAAGGACACATTAGCACGTATGAAGACACCGTGTTACCCATGGCATAACAAGTATATGTCACTAAGAGAGAACTAAATTCCCATAAACAGAAATTGGACAATCTGGAAAATCAATCCAGATGCAATAACGTGTGCTTCACTGGTTTCCCAAAGAAGGCGGAAGGGAATGCCCCAGAGCTCTTTCTGGAACGGTGGCTTAAAGAGATTCTGTCCTTTATGATTAAGCGGGCATGCCGCACTCCACTGCACCCATCCCCGCCAGCTGCAAACCCACATCCCATAATAGTGAAGATCCTAAACTTGTGGCACAAAGCTGCTATTTTACATGCCGTGCGGAAAACAAGAGATCTTCTCTACAACAGTAACCACACTCCAATCTTCCCACTTTAAAGGCTAAGTTTACCTTTCAGACCTTGTCTCATGTTACATCCATATTCAGGGTGTAACAATTCT